AGAAAATCTTTTGGTGCATAATGTGGGCAATGGAAATTTTGTGCTTAAAGCCATTAAGCCAAGGGTGTATTTTGTCATTGTATCGAGGACATCATTGTTAGAAGTAGGCATGATCGAGGATGAAGTAGGCATTTTGTCCATTTTGCAGGTCACCTCTTCCCAGCATTCCTCCACACAGGTTTGCAGCAGCCATTTAGTTTTTCTCGTATCCGAATTTCTGTGTGAAGCAACTGACCCTCTCCAAGTCTTGACGATCTCGTCCCCCTTCTTTGCAACGTCCTGAATTTTCCAGGTACTCCCCGGCTGAGCTTAAGACACTGACATCCACCGACTCCCACTTTGGCTCAACATATCACTCACCCAAACCAAATTCCTTCTATCACTATCAAACTGGCACATAGGTTTCTTCTCCTTGATATATGGAATCCAAGGGGAGTCCCAAATACAGTAAGTCATCTTTCAAAAATAGACATATTATACATTAATGAGAATAGTGTCCCATAAAGCTACCCCCACCACCCATATACTGAGTGTGCAATTTTGCAAAGCTGAAGACAAATTTTAGCTGACAATTGAAGTGTTAGATTCTCTTCTAAGGTAGTTTTTTTTTAATAGCTTCACATTTTATAGTAAGATCATTAACATTACAATTTTACATGGGAATGCTGGCTTTTACTGTATCTGCCAATGCTCATTTTGAACTATATTCCTTTGTTTGAGGTAATAAAACGTTATGAAGATATGCCAATAATTTCTCAATAAATAATTCTCGAATGTGCTGAATCTAAGTGGCAGACTCACACGCTTCGAGATCCTATATATCAAAATTTCATACTTTATTATTTCGCTTGGACAATCCAAAAAAATAACTAGGCGCGGAATAACCGTAAAATATGATGAATATTAATGATTCTTGTTAGGAGCATTAATCATGTTTTTAATATAATTTCATATTCTAAAAGTGTTTATAAGGGATAACTTTTTGCACACTATTTCTCTTTTCCTTAGTCTTTCTTTTAAACTAACAAAAAAAAGTTACTAACATAAATTATAAATACATTTTAAAAGTTAATAATTTTTAAATTTACCATAAATTAATATATATATATTTGTATAACAATATCAAATTAATCATCTTCCGATGAGGTATCGATTTGACATTTATATTTGACATACACAATGAATAAATAGTTATATTTACTTTAATAATAAAACTAAATTATCTATTACAATTATTTCAAAAAAATAAAATTAATTAAATTATTTTAGCTAAAATATAGTTTATGATATAAGTTAGGAAAACATAATATAAGATGAATAAGTCGTATAAAATGACCGAGTATCATTTTATATATTAACAATAATATAGCTTTTCGAAAAAGTGTTTAAAATTTAAAATAATTTTTCCTTTCATTATTTTTCAATTTAAAATATAAATCTTTTAACAGTCATATGTGTAATACACGATATTATACCAATAACACACTATCACAGTCAAAGAGGAATATTACCACAAAATTTTTTGTCAACATTTCAATTTCCAACATAAGTTATAAACTCTTTAATTATAGTGTTTCAAATTAATAATATAATGCAATATAAAAATTTCATTTCAGCAGTAAATATCTACCTAATAGGCTATTCTTAAACCCCTTTCTTGTATAAAGTTAAAATTATAAAGGTAAAAGTCTCTTTGTAGACATAACATCTTTATAAATCTTTGAAGATCTTCCAACTTTGATGACTGTGAAAATAAGTCCACCTTGATCTTACCCTCGCCGCGTAAAAAGGCTCCACTTACTTTTAACGGCGCGCTTTAAGGTACCGAGTACTGCTTGGAATTGTAGGCTCGCAACATTATTATGCTTTTAAGATTATTTTTTATTTTATTTTTGAGTTTAATTTTGGCTAAATAAACGCAAGTCTTGAATTACATAAATAAATTTATATAAAATTATCAAAAGTCACCGAGATTAGGTCTCTACTTGAGTCTAAAATACTTTTAAGTATACAGAGTTATTTTTTCTTCCTGCCACATCAGCACGACCTAGTCTACTTGCACTGGCATAGAAGAATATATTTTTTTTAGACTGAGTCTATTATCGAGGTGGCATATAACTTTTTTTTTATTGAACTCATCGTATTGTGGATGCTCTTAGACTCCAATAAATATGAGTGCACTAGTGGGTGATTGTTTATCAACTCAAAAAAAA